ACTGTCATCAGCTGGACAAACTGAATGATGCACTTCAACAGAAAAGGTCAGAACTAATCAACAGGAAAGGTGTAGTGTTTCACCAAGACAACGCGAGACCTCACACAAGTTTGGTCACTCGCCAAAAGCTTTTACAGCTTGAATGGGATACAATGCTACACCCACCATATTCTCCAGACCTGGCACCATCGGATTATTATTTGTTCCGGTCACTCCAAAATTTTTTAGACGGTAAAACCTTCACCTCAAATGAGGAGGTCAAAAACCTCCTCGATCAGTTTTTTGCCAGCAAAGACCAAAAAGTTTATGAGCGTGGAATTATGCTACTACCAGAAAGATGGCAAAAGGTGTTGGACCAGAACGGTCAATATATAATTTAATAAAGTATTTGTTTATTATACGAAAACTGTCTTTAATTTCCACAAAAAAAAAACGAAATGACTCCGAACAACCCTACACTTGGTGATTGCTACCTACCTGACTAAACTTCATGTCTCAACTCGTCTGTCAACTAATGTAAAATATTGCCATTTTAATATTATCTCATAATATTTTGATTCATACACAAAAATGTCCTAAAAAGTTACTACATAATTTCGAGAAAAAAAGCTGTTACGGTATTGCGAGTCTAAATATTTTTTTATACCTATTTCATTCATTGGTACTATTTACCAATAATAATAATTTGTTAAAACCTGTAATAAATTCATTTATCGTTTTTACCTGATATCAATTAAGCCTGTGCCATCGTAATCCCCGGAGGAAATGATTGTATTTGTTTTTGGATCGCAGTTGTAATAATCTACACAAGTTCTTATGCCTTTATCGTCTCCTTCTCCGCAGGCGAAAGTCGCCCCATATCCCTTGGAGGGCTCCTTGGTCACCTCTTCGAACCCGTCGAAAAAGTCCTCTGACTGGCTCAGGGAGGAACTCGCGAAAAATAACAGAACCGGACATGCCCAACTGAAACACCACGAAAAAGGTAAGGAATCGTTTTGATATTTTAAAAAATTTTTATTTTCTGTGAGAAAAAATTATTAATCGTCAGTTTTATTTCGTCACGTACGATAAGATAATTTCGTTATAACTTATGCAACCTTCTTAACTATTTGACCTTCACCTACCTGAGAATTCGTGATCGGAATAATATGAGCATTCTGTTTTGAATGAAATTGAATTCGTTTGCTACCGTTGGACAAAACCAGCGATCTAGACTAAATGAAGAAAGACACCGGGGTCTTCAGAAAAGTCAATTCATTAGCAAATATGCCCCACCACTCTTATTTACCAGAGGGGAAACACATTACGTCATTTGCTTGTACATAAGACAACTTTTGTTTTCTTCACGGTCCATCTCGCAACCTCGAAATCGAACTGGTCAACATTTTAATTATCTGTTATGTACAAACGTTTCTTGCTATACAGTGATGTTCGAAAATTGTGATCGAGACATCGAGAACTTTTTATACTTTTATAGGAAAGGGTTTTTGCAACTTCCGCATAATTTCCAATCCTTATTTTCAACTCGAATTTATTATAGAATACTTGCCTAATAAAGGGAAGAAAAACAGAAAAAAATCTTATTTCCGGGGCAAAGGTATGATAATAATCTTCGGGGACTTGGGCTACCCGTTTCTGGAATTTGCCGCCCTCGTTTTTGACTCGGGACATACCCGAAAAGGGAATGCCACACTTTCATCCCTTCGTGCGCAATACGTACACCATTTACGAATTTTATTTCACAGGGTTAATTTTAGACATAATGCTTATTGAAAATATGTAAAAAAAAAAATCGGTTGTCTGTAAAGTCGGTTTACTGACGATAGTTGAACGTGACAACGTCATAAGAAAATACTGATGGAATGGTTTCATTTTCCAAAAGAAAATTTTAATTTTATTTGTTTGATAGATATTTTGTATGGATATAGAGAAGGAGGTAAATGGAAATGTATTATTGTATAGCAGCTGTCCACGGGGACGCATCGCTCACTCAAGTAGGAGAGAGACAGATGTGGAACGCTGCCGAACGCGGAGGCCGATTGTGCCTCTTTGTCGCTCGTTCCGCGCTCTCGCTTGCACTTCAAGTCTTAAATGGAACGCCTCAGAGCGAGGTAACGCCGCATGAGTCATGTTTTTTCGTGCGTGCAGCCGGGGCTCCATCGAATTATAAGACGTTGTCACGTCAAAAGCAAGTTTGCTCTCCCTTGTATATCGACGAAGAGGGATACTTTCTCCTTGGCTGTTTTGTCGTGGTCCATGGAGTTTTGATGTTCCAGACGTTTCACCGTTCTTCGCTGACGACATCTTCGGCGGTGACTTAGCTGTTATTGGATCATGACTGACTTCAGCCAAGTCACCACGGAAGATGCCGTCAGAGATGAACGCCGAAACGTCTGGAATATCAAAACTGTATCGATCATGACAAACCATTTTTGTACTGCAGATAAAGCCCCTTCGTGCGAAAGTCCACTGAGCCCTGGCACCCCACTTTTAGACTTTGATACACTGTCATAAATCTGCGTGAGTTATTTTTGATTTTTAGCCCTAAAAATTCTGTCGGTAAGGGGGGTGATACTGTTAAACACATTTTAGGTCATTAATAAAAAATCGGTTATAACGAACATTTTATTTTATTTCTATTTATACACGTTATACATGATGTGAACTATTGTAACGGACGAACAAAAGTTTTTGTGTTGATCTAATAAGTCCTTTTAGAAAAACCAATCACTTATATATATATGTGAATTGTAAAAATTCGGCATTAGGGTCTGTCCATAAATTGCCTAACGCTAATGGAAAAAGAGGAAAATTCGGTTGTTACAGCTCTGTTAAAAAACACTTTCATCGAAGTCAAAACGGACTTGGGAAGAGTTTAATTCATTCCAACAGAAATATAAACCTAACTAATGGGTATCGGCAGTAACAAACACCCGGTTATAACGGACAAAATTTCTATTCCACCCGTGTTGGTTATAAGCGAGTTCAACTTTATTTATTTTAGAGGATTTAGTTTAAAAACTAACCACCCTTTTTGCGTGAGGGTTGCCTTATAGTATGTAAATAATGAATATCAAGTAACTTAAACTTATTACAGAAAATATCTTCTTCTATCTATTATAACAACAACGAAGTTTGTAGTATGTGAGCGAAGCGAACGTATTGTGTTCTAATAAGATATGTAAATTATTCAAGCTTGCAAGGGAAACATGATCGTTACAAAGAACACAAACAACAAATTAGCGAATATTATACTTTAATACAATGTATTGTACTCGTAGAAGTTCCGTGAGAATTCATTTTCATAGATAATATATATATAATTATGACGGTAACTACGCACAATAGTTAAGTATGTGATATTTATGAATAACTAAATAAACTTAAAAAAAAAAATTGGTCTGAGCACACTTTGGTCGGTGCTAATACGACTAACTTCCCATTAGATAATACAGTTATTGTAAAGTACATTCGTTTCTAAAGTTTGAAAAAAACGCGGCACAATAATAAATAACAAACAATGTTTGAGAGTTCGTCATTTTATAAACCCATAAGAAACAGTATTTCGTCTGAGAAAACCGAATTGATAGAGTACTTGCATCAGTCAATTGGTAAATACTATTTTTTATTGTTTATCGATTGTTTATAACAATTCATTTTGTTATAAACAAATTTTTATTATAATATGTTATTATAATATGTTATTCCCTGTCTTGAATAATGATATTTCGTTATTATTGATTCCGTAACTTCATTGTTGTGATTAGATTAGAACGTATTTTAATTAAATTGTTTGTAATTAATTCGTTTTTTTTTTTATAAAAAAAAAACGGCTTGACCGATTTCGTTCAAATTTCTTTCAGATCTTCATTATGATAATATCTTTCGAAAAAATTTTGGTTGAGGGCGATATCTCAATCCGTTCTTGAGATATCGAAAACGAAAAAAATGCTGACATACGAACGTACGTACGTACATACACACATCATCAAAAAAATTGGCTAGCATGCTACTAATATGTTAAAACGTGGAAATATAATGAAAATTCCGATTTCACTTTTCGACCCAATTACAATAACTTCCTAATGGGAAGTTAAAAATTGAACGTGTAATTATACGACACGCTATTGAAGTGAAACTTCTTCAAACACACAAACATACCGGAATAGGGGTTAAGGAATTGGTTTAATGGTAGATATTATTTGTATACAATGAATTTAAATTTTACACTATACATGTCGGAATTGCCTGTAACGAACGTTGCATTGAAGCGCGCTCACGGCTCAAGTGATCCCCACTACGAGACATCCGTTGCATGATTTCGTTACATAGCAAATCGCATGAAACGAACTTACCCTACCGTGCGTAAAGAAGTTTCACTTCAAAAAACATTTACGTTTAAAAGATTTCCTGCGATAAATATAAAAATAAAATGATTTGCTGTCCATTGGTCACCCGGGGCAAGTAGCTAGTGCCCCCGATCGATGGGGCCTCCTAGTTCCTGCCAGATTACCAACCAATAAGCGATGTTACCGCTGAATATATTTATTTTTCGAAAATCAAACGATAATTACTAACTATATTAGATACTGCTTACTTACAGTCTTTTTTTTTGATATTCTAATTAACGAAGGACGTAACACTGGCGGCTCTGTCAGACCACCTGCCTCTTGCTTGCAGGGGGGATTTCCTTAAATATTTTTTAAGTTTTATGTAGCCAGCAGCGAGGCAAAATTTAATGTGAGTGACCAAGTAAACCACCTCGATGATCGGTCGGGATTCCCCTTTCGCGCAAACTTTTTTCGCTTGAGTCTGAAGTCGTTGTTCGCCTGTTTTATTTTACATTCGCGACGGCTTTCAGTATAAGAATAAAATTATGGGTATACTATGTTATGTAGTTTTTTCCAGGGTGGCAATCAAATAATTAGACACCTTTATGTTTTTGTAACGTTTCGGTTTATTTAACCATCTTCAGTCTTTTAAAGTGTTACTGCTTGTACACAGATATTAACTTGATTTTGAACATTCTGCATACTTATGCAGTGGTTCAACGCAAAAGTCTGAAGATGATTGAGTAAACCGAAACGTTACAAGAAACATAAAATTGTCTGATTATTTGACAGCCACCCTGCAAAAACTACATAATTTAACAGTAACGGTCAGGAACTTGAAATAAAAAATACTACCTAAGGCAAGTTAGAGACACATTAGAAGCAGAAACAGGAATTAAGAGGGGTAGCAGTAGACCTAAATTAGATTACTGTTCACTAGTAGTTAAGGATGTGGGATGTTCTAGTTTTAGGGAAATGCAAGATTAGCTCAGGATAAGAAAAAGTGATGGTTTGTGTCTAACCAGTCTTATTAATAATGATGATGATAACATCTTCCTTTTGCCTGTTTTAATGAAATATACCATTGCCATAGTCATAGGCATAAGGGCTCCATTTTCCTTAAATTCCCACTACCTCCAATACGTAAAAGACCATTCTAATTTGGATGTATTTGGGTCTGCTATAACTCCACCATTATTTTTTCGTCGTCATTAGAGCTTTTTTACACGGGCTACTTTTTGTGGAGCTTCTGAAGCGTCACAGTTGCACGATTTTTTGAAATCCACTGTTTTAAATTGACGCTTTCACACGAGAGCAGTGCTTTAAAGACGTAGCGCTACAGTCGCTGAATTGAAGCGACATTCGCTTGAATTGCGCGGCTAAATAGTCGTGCCCTCGTTGCGCTTCATTACATAAATGCATTTACTTAAGTTAACGCTTCCACACTAGTGTACGTTTAGTAATGCGACAGACCAATGATGGAAAATTTCATAACCGAAATTGAAAACAAAGACTGCATTTGGAGTAGCTGCAGGGCAGGACTATTTAAGGAAGAGCATGGGAAGAAGAAATGACTGAAAGACATTTTTTATTTCGACATAAATCTTGGAAAGATGTATAGAAATCCGTTTAGCAATCGATTGCTGCTGTAAGGATCGACTCAATATTTCCGATTCTTTATATTCTTATTTTTTTTTTTTATCAGAAGCGCTAATAAAAAAA